ACTAAGTACATCGTATGTTATGTTTGCAGCCACCGTGACTAAGTACATTGTATGTTATGTTTGCAGCCACCATGACTAAGTACATTGTATGTCATGTTTGCAGCCACCGTGACTAAGTACATTGTATGTTATGTTTGCAGCCACCGTGACTAAGTACATCGTATGTTATGTTTGCAGCCACCGTGACTAAGTACATTGTATGTTATGTTTGCAGCCATCGTGACTAAGTACATTGTATGTTATGTTTGCAGCCACCGTGACTAAGTACATCGTATGTTATGTTTGCAGCCACCGTGACTAAGTACATTGTATGTTATGTTTGCAGCCACCGTGACTAAGTACATTGTATGTTATGTTTGCAGCCACCGTGACTAAGTACATTGTATGTTATGTTTGCAGCCACCGTGACTAAGTACATCGTATGTTATGTTTGCAGCCATCGTGACTAAGTACATTGTATGTTATGTTTGCAGCCACTGTGACTAAGTACATTGTATGTTATGTTTGCAGCCACCGTGACTAAGTACATTGTATGTTATGTAAATTTAATTTGCAAACAATAGATACGAATAAATCAATACATCTATTTATTAAATGTTCACGGTGTTTTATTGTCAAACCGTTTTAGTCGGAACCAATGAAATTGTGAACTTAACTCAAACATGGTTAACTGTGTTACGAAGTATTATTATTATTATTATTATTATTTTTATAAATTTGAAAACAGTTTAGAATCCACCTCGCTGATTGATTGCACTAATTATGTTATCCCAGAAATATACATAATTTAGGAATGCGGTGACATAATGTAGAATAGAACAATGTACATTTCGTTCCAAGGTCGACTCAATAGATTGAATAGGCTGTGAACAGCAGAAAAATATAAGTTGATTTCATGATCTGAGCCGTTTTCCAAGTGTTAAGAGATCCTACAATTGCCGACATGTTTTATAAGCGATACTCATTTTGACTCTAAATTTATTTATCCGCAAAAACAAACATAGAAGGGCCGAGCCGACCGAACATCGTCACATGTGTTCTATTGTACGAGTCACTTTCATTTGAAAAGGAAGTGCTTTATTATTCTGTATTGTTTGTTTACAATGACGTCGATCCCTGGTTGCCACACAAACGAATACGTAGCGAGGCTCCATTTTGTTTTCAGCTTGTGATCATGAATATCACACAGGTGAATGCGACTCTATCATCTTGACGTACTGTGGCGTACATGTACTATTTCACCTTCAATTACACAGTAAGTGTTTTATGTTTCTGTTATAATGCTTATTTTCAGACTATGCGTAAATAGAGTTATGCTTGCACCAACCACTGACTGATTAAATTGGCGTTTATAATCACTGAATGTTCCCCTCTATTAAACGTTCTACCCTATTTTATTAGTCACTAAATTTGGGAATTCTGTCAATAACACATGATTTCCGGTAGATTTATTTGTCAAAATTCTTATAAAAAACTGTATCTTTTGCCATAACGTTTCCCAGCGCAATCGTAGTACATTGCATGGCTAATGGCACCCATCTCTATGATACATCTACACAATTCGTTCTCCCTTTTTATAGTTATCACTATTCACTATAAATACATAAAACGACCTTGAAATTCACTTGCAGTGGCCATATTGTACGCAAATCATCTAAAATAGAACGTACATGTAAATCATTTAGTCTTCAGTTCATTGTATACGTATCACGTGCAAATTTCATATTTTGCTAAAGCAAATGAATACCCACATGATAATATCAATGTATTTTCAGCGTATATATGATAACCACACAAGGTTTCTTAAATAATATCTCCACATACACACATTCATTATCGTTTTATATATACATAAATAATTTCACTTTCTGACGCATATGTGTCAGTAATAGGAAACTAAAGTAGAGATATATATTGTACGAGGCGTGTTTTGTAATTACCAGCTCTAGCTATAGAATATTTGCGCAAACATCGATAAATATATAAAATTATGAAACTAAATTAATCATAGAACATTTTATGACGAATCGACCAAATCGGCCCAGCATATGACGCGTGTATTTAGTATAGATTTCGCGTTGGTCGTCCCCGGTGATCGTCACTCTGTGATGCGTGCGTTCAACCAGTCAACACACACACACCTTGTTTACACCGTTCTATACGGTGATTATTACCACTGGCTTGATCCGGATAACATGGGTGTGTGAATAACGAAATGTGGTTATTGTCTAACTCCTTACATGTATTTATGTGGCTTTATATATAACCTAGAGCTTGATATTCAGGGGGACCATCGAGACTTTGGTAATTCCAACTAACATCTAAGAAATTATAAAAAAATCAAAAAAGAATAGAATAGAATAGAATAGAATAGAATAGAATAGAATAGAATACTGTCAACACAAAATATGTCACATAATAATAACAGATAAACAACATTTGCTGTTGTTGACATCACGAGTGTTACAACAAACACTAAACACTGTATGAATGTAATAAATGTTTGATTAAATGGGGCAGATACAAACAAACACTAAACACTGAATGTTAAAATGTTCGATGAAATGGGGCAGATACCAACACACACTAAACACTGAATGTTAAAATGTTTGATTAAATGGGGCAGACACCAACAAACACTAAACACTGTATGAATGTTATAAATGTTTGATGAAATGGGGCAGGTACCAACAAACACTAAACACTGTATGAATGTTATGAATGTTTGATGAAATGGGGCAGGTACCAACAAACACTAAACACTGTATGAATGTTATAAATGTTTGATGAAATGGGGCAGATACCAACAAACACTAAACACTGTATGAATGTTATAAATGTTTGATGAAATGGGGCAGGTACCAACAAACACTAAACACTGTATGAATGTTATAAATGTTTGATGAAATGGGGCAGGTACCAACAAACACTAAACACTGAATGTTAAAATGTTCGATGGAATGGGGCAGATACCAACACACACTAAACACTGAATGTTAAAATGTTCGATGGAATGGGGCAGATACCAACAAACACTAAACACTCTATGAATGTTATAAATGTTTGATGAAATGGGGCAGGTACCAACAAACACTAAACACTGTATGAATGTTAAAATGTTCGATGGAATGGGGCAACTACCAACAAACACTAAACACTGCATGAATGTTATAAATGTTCGACGAAATGGGGCGGACACCAACAAACACTAAACACTGTATGAATGTTATAAATGTTCGATGAAATGGGGCGGATACTAAGAAGAATTTACTAAGAATAGGCCGTAATTAATTGCAAATCCCCGGGCCGAAAGATTTGTCAATATACTGCTCTCGTTTGATAACTGGCGGATGTGTGAACAAAAAATTGTCGTGAATGAAAGTAAAATATGTATGATGTCTGTGCATGGAGTAAAAAGAATTGAGAGAAATGTAAAAAAAAACGTCGTCCGGTAAATGTGCGTAAAGTTATTGAACAAATATGATAATAATAACACATGAATACATGTTTGCCTTTCTCAGATAAAACAAAGCCATCGCCATCCATTATGAAGAGAAAGCTGACCCACTTATTTGCAGTCGTCGTCGTATTCATTTTAATTCCAAATTCATCTTTAGTACACTGCAAAGATAAAGCGCTGATTGCCAGACCACAGAAATCATCACAACGAGGTAAATAATTTAACCACATCATTCATTCGGAACTTGATTTCATTCGTTCAGTATATTTGTGTCGCATCAGCGTGGATTTGCGTTCGATCCCACAGTGTGACTCATAGACACAGGCAATTACATATATCATAATATGGACAATATGAAGGAAATGAAAGATAAATAAAATGTCATGTATAAATATAACATGATAGCTGTAGCACATATAACCGCCATGATATATGTCACATGGTTATATAATATAAACCTGTCATGATATATGGAATAAATATCACATGTTTTTATCAAATACAACTGCCATGATATATGTCACATGGTTATATAATATGAACCTGCCATGATATATGGAATAAATATCACATGTTTTTATCAAATACAACTGCCATGATATATATCATATGGTTGTATAATATAAACCTGCCATGATATATGGAATAAATATCACATGTTTTTATCAAATACAACTGCCATGATATATATCATATGGTTATATAATATAAACCTGCCATGATATATGGAATAAATATCACATGTTTTTATCAAATACAACTGCCATGATATATATCATATGGTTATATAATATAAACCTGCCATGATATATGGAATAAATATCACATGTTTTTATCAAATACAACTGCCATGATATATATCATATGGTTGTATAATATGAACCTGCCATGATATATGGAATAAATATCACATGTTTTTATCAAATACAACTGCCATGATATATATCATATGGTTGTATAATATAAACCTGCCATGATATATGGAATAAATATCACATGTTTTTATCAAATACAACTGCCATGATATATATCATATGGTTGTATAATATAAACCTGCCATGATATATGGAATAAATATCACATGTTTTTATCAAATACAACTGCCATGATATATGTCATATGGTTGTATAATATAAACCTGCCATGATATATGGAATAAATATCACATGTTTTTATCAAATACAACTGCCATGATATTATCATATGGTTGTATAATATGAACCTGCTATGATATATGGAATAAATATCGCATATTTTTATCAAATACAACTGCCATGATATATGCCACATAGTTGTATAATATAAACCTGCCATGATATATGGAATAAATATCAAATGTCACGTGACTGTATCACATAGACCATACATGATATATGGGATAAGAATCACATGACTGTATCACATAGAACTGTCATGATATATGGGCTAAGTATCATATGGCTGTATCACATATAACTGTAATGATATATGATCTAAGTATCATATGGCTGTATCACATAGAACTGTCATAATATATGGGCTAAGTATCATATGGCTGTATCACATATAACTGTAATGATATATGGTCTAAGTATCATATGGTTGTATCACATAGAACTGTCATAATATATGGGCTAAGTATCATATGGCTGTATCACATAGAACTGCCATGATATATGGGACAAGCATCATATGGCTGTATCACATAGAACTGTCATGATATATGGGACAAGCATCATATGGCTGTATCACATAGAACTGTCATGATATATGGGCTAAGTATCATATGGCTGTATCACATAGAACTGTAATGATATATGGTCTAAGTATCATATGGCTGTATCACATAGAACTGTCATGATATATGGGCTAAGTATCATATGGCTGTATCACATAGAACTGTCATGATATATGGGACAAGCATCATATGGCTGTATCACATAGAACTGCCATGATATATGGGACAAGCATCATATGGCTGTATCACATAGAACTGTCATAATATATGGGACAAGCATCATATGGCTGTATCACATAGAACTGTCATGATATATGGGCAAAGTATCATATGGCTGTATCACATAGAACTGTAATGATATATGGGCGAAGTATCATATGGCTGTATCACATATGACTGTCATGATATATGGGCG